CAGCAGCAGAGCGCAGCTGCTGGGGGGCGGCGGGGTCCCCGACCCCCCCCAGCAGCAGTCCAGCAGAGCGCACACTGGACCCAGCTCCCGCCTCTTCGCCGCCGCCGCCCCCTCCCCCCTCGGCTCGTGTTTGAGCGTACACGCTCGAGGTGCGGTTGTGTTCACCGCGCCGCCTGGCTGGCAGTAAAGGGTGTGGACCGTGAGTTGAGGAAATCGGGGGACGCGACCCACTTCGCCACAGACGGTCCCGCGCCTCGCCGCTAAGACGGCGACACGGCCGCAGCTCGGTGTGCGTGTCGCCGTCTTTGTCCGGAGTGAAAAGTCCAACGCGCTCGTCGGTGGCGGCGTCCCCCGATTTCGCCGCGCTCGGCGAACCTCGACAGCGCCTTCGGTGGCATGCAGCTCTTTGCAACAGAAGCCTGGAGAGCAGCTCCTCTGCTGCTCACACACTCTGCACAGTTGACACAGCCTACTGTGCGGCTGCCACAGCTGTGACAGCGATGGGCTCGCCCTCACTGGCCCTCAGTCACTTGTGCTGCGGCTTGTGTGAGCGACACTGCTCGGCGACTGCCGGCACACTCTGAGACCATGGGTGTGAGGTTAAACCACCCTACCAGCGCTTGGTCACATCGGCCCCGAGGTCAGATCCTTCTACTCTGTTGATGACAAGACTCGTCTACTGGCTGGAGCCGAGCAGGAGGGCCCAGCGCACAACCCCTGGTCAACTCAGGGTCCACACCCCGTAGGAGGGTACGCCGTGAGACCCGTTCCATTGGTGCCGACCATAAATTCTCGCCGCTGGAACGCTACTTACGTGTACTTACAGCTGTCTGTACGACAGAGATCGGCTAGCACCCCCCCCCCCAGCGGCAGAGCTCTGCTGCTGGGGGGGGGGGTCGGCCATGTGGCGCTTTAATAGATGTGCAGGGGGGGTACCGAGCCGTGTGCGGCCGCTCCAGCCGCGGGGAGCGCCCCCCGTACACTCTAAACAAAAGCCCGGTACATACTGACATTATACACCCACGACGCTGAGACACACTGCTGGCGCCTTGTGACCCCGAGAGAGTCAGATAGGGTTTCAAGGACCGTGCCGGCGGTCGAGAGCGCGAGCAACGGTGATGGGGATGGCGTGGGTGAGCCACAAGTGGTGGAGGTCGGCCTGCCGCTGGGCGCTGAGGAAAAGCGGCCTCCCTCGCCTCAGCTTGTGGTCCTCCTCTCCGTGCGCGTCCAAGTAGATGGAGGGGTAGAAGTGCGGGATGGCCCTGCCCTCGTGCAGCTCGCCCGAGGAGTAGGTCAGCAGGACGCGCCCCTCGTGGAGGAGGTAGAACATGCCGCAGCCCGCCCCGCACGTGTTCGCGTGCCGTGAGCAGGGCATCTCGCCATGCCGGAGGGCCTGCTCGGGCTCCCCGCGGCACGAGGGAGTCGCGCAGAGGATGTCGCCGCACACGAGGCACAGCGCCGTGTCGGTCGGCGGCTCGCCGCACAGCGCGCACGGCCTGGCGTGCAGCAGCGTCGAGAGAGTGTAGAAGTCCTTGGGCATGCGGTGCAGCTGCAGCGAGGGCAGACTCGCGAGACTGGGCGCAGGCCGAATCCCAAGACACACAGCACTCGAGGCACGCTCGGCCCAAAGGTGGCAGCGTCTCACTGCGCTGGCCGACGCGAGCATCTCGCGCGCGGAAGCGAGTCGCCAGCGGCCGTGGCCAGTGGGTGGTGCTTGCCACACGCCCGACAGCAGTGCCGCGGCGAAGCGGTTGAAGCTCGAGACGGTGCGCTCCACCACCTGCGGCACGCCGCGGAGGAGGAGCCTCACGGCGCGGCGCGAGAGAGGGGAGGAGGAGGCCTCTCCTCCTCGACTCGAGACTACTCTATCTTGAGCGCACCTCCAGCAAGGCGGCACCCGCCGGCGCGTCCGCCGCAACAGAGAGGTGGGACCGGGCCGCCATCTCGCCGCGCAGGCGATCGACCGGGGACGGCTCGCCGGCGGTCGCCGCGACTGTGCCGCTGAGCCCCGTGGACTGGCATGTGAGCAGAAGCGCCTGCATGTGCGAGGGGTGAAGCGAGGGCCGGTGGACGATGCGGCGGGCGATGGGGCGGGGCGAGGGGCGGGGCGAGGGGCGGTGCAGGGCGGGGCGAGGGGCGGGGCGGGGCGGGGCGAGGGGCGGGGCGAGGGGCGGGGCGAGGGGCGGGGTGATTGACAGGATGGGCGGGGTGATGGGGCGGGGTGATGGGGCGGGGTGTTGGGCGGGCGAGGGCGAGCCGGCGGCGCGTCACCTGCGCGGTAACCGCAACTCCCACAAACTGCGTCAACGCGGCGGCCTCCTCTGGCGTGTCGGGCGCCAGCAGTGCCGTGAGCACGACCAGGACTTGGTGCAAGTCGCACTGCATCAGCCCAGCGCCCGCCGCCACGACCTGCTCGTCGTCTCTGAAGCCGAAGAGCTCCGCGTGCTCGTCGCTGAGGCGCCCGCCTCCGCCCGCGAGGCTCTCCACGAGCTGCGTCGCGTCCGCGCCAAACAGCTCCCACTTCGGGCCCGGCAGCCCCTCGAGCTTTGGGAGCAGCTGGTACTCTCGGATCAGGGTCGACTGGAGCAGCGCAGGGCAGAGCAGCAAGCCGCTCACCGGCGAGAGCTCGCGCGCAAGCCTCCGGCCCGTTTCGTCCCAGTCCGCCTCGCCCCTCGCGACGGCCGCGGCCTCCGAGGCGACGGCGACGGTCGACGCGGACCACGCGATCGCGCGCCACGCCCGGACGAAGAGCGGCAGCGTCGCGGGCAAAGGGCTGCCGGACGAGCGCCACTCCGAGACCTCGCGCTCCCCCACCTCAACCAGCCCCGCGAGGTGCACCCTCCGCAGAAACTCGAGCTGAGCGCCCGCGGCCGCTGGAACGACCTCCCTCAGCGTGTGATCGCGCAGCGGCGGCGCCGGCGCGGAGAGCCTGTCCAGCGCCCGCGGGAGCACCTGCTCCGCGACGAGCCGCAAGTCGCCGTCGACGCTGCTCGCTTCGGCCGGCGTCGCCGTCACGGCTGCGGAGGCCGGCGCGCTGGCTCGCCGCCCCTTGTGCAGCGGCAAGACCACGTTGCACAGGGCGCGGCAGAGCGGGCAGACAAGCTCGTCCTTCCGGCCGGTGCGGCTGCTCGCGCTCCGGGTCTCCGCGTAGTGCGTCCAGCAGGTGAAGTGCATCGCGTGGCCGCACCGCTGGAGCGACCAGTCGTCGCGCCGCTGCGTGCCGTCGGCCGGGGGGCAGCAGCTCGCGTGCCCCACCACGGACGGGCGCGCAAAGGCCAGGCCGACCATGGCGGCCTCCGGGCCTCCGTCTGCGCCGTGGCAGAGGATGCAAGACTCTGCCTCCTCCTCGATCGAGGCCATCTCGCCTCGGCTAGAGCCAGGCGCTCCTCGTTGCGGGGAGGCTGCGTCGCCCTCCTCCAGAGAGGCGCCAGCCTCACCCGCTCCGCCCGACTGCTCCGCAGCCAGAGTCGCCTCGAAGGAGGACGCCTGCTTCGACAGAGCCGCGAGCGCCTTTTGCCTCGCCTGCGCGCGCCGGCGCTGTCGGCGCAGCTTCTCCTGCTCGGCGTCGCCCCCGTCGCCCCCCGCTCCCTGCTCCGGGGAGGCCGCTTGCTGCACACGCTGCCAGCGCTGCTTGTCGAGGTCGCGCTTGCTCTCCGGGTCGCGCCGGGCAGCCTCCGAGAGCACCCACCGAAGGTCGCGCAACCCGAGGCGGGAGAGGCGCAAGTCTGCGCCGCCGCCCGCCCCTCCCACGGCTCCTCCCGGCGCCGCCGCCGCCGCGAGGTGGTCGAGCTGCTCCAGCGCGTCGAGGAGGGAGAGGTGCTCGCCCCGCGGCAAGCCGCCCGCCGCGCCGCCCCAGAGAGAGGCATCAAACGCTGCAGACTCAGCCGCGACAGGCGCCGCAAGATCGCCCGGACGCCAGCGCAGCTCGCGAAAGAGCGCCGCGGCGCCCTCTCGGCCGCAGTCCTCCTCCGGCAAGCCGACGGCGAATGCGACGATCCCGAGGCCGTGCTCGAGTGCGTCCCTCGCATCCGCCTCCCCTGCCGAGCCGACTCCCGCCCGGCCAAGCGCGTGGACGGCCAGCAGCCGCACCAGCCGGAGGAGGGGCGGGTGGAGCGCCAGCAAACGGACGGGCCGAAACGACGGGTGGCACGGCGTCGGCGGCGGCGGTGTGCTGCTTGGCGGGACGCCGCGCCTCAGCCTCGCCTGCTCGAGCGTCTCGAGCCGCTCGAGGGCGTGCTGCGAGGGGCGGGGCGGGCGGGTGTGTCGTGTCGGGGCGGGCGGGTGTGTCGGGGGCGGTTGGGCAGTCGGGGCGGTGTCTAGCGTGCCGTGCGGCCGGGTGGGCTATGAGTATGACTGCGGAGTACGACTCGCGCCTGGTGGCTCTCCACCGTCAGGTGAGGGAAGACGGGCGAGTAGTAGTCCGCCTCGAGCCCTTCGCGCAGCGCGTACAGGCGCGCCGCCCCGCTCGACGCCTGCGCGGGAGAGGGAGACGGTGCGCTCGCGTCCCAGGGAGCGGCGCCTGCGGGGCGGCGGGGCGGCGCCTCTTGCTGCTTGGTCGCCACCGCGTCGATGGCCGCCTGCACCACCTCCGGACTCGGTGCCTCGTCGTCGATCGAGCGGAGCGACGCGGCGAGCTCGGAGTGGGTGCACGGGCCGAGCAGCAGCTGGTGCGCGAGCAGCGCGCGCATCGCCGCCGCCTCGTGCGCCTCGCCCGGCGGCGGCAGCGTGTGCGCCATCAGCTGCAGGAGCAGCCGCAGCGCGGCGCAGAGCATGTGGCTGCGCTGCTTGGCGTCGGCGCCCCACGAGGCGATGCCGCCGCTCCCCCACGCCGCGACGCTCTCCGCCCCGGCGGGCAGCGCGCCGAGGGCGTGCCCGAGTAAAGACGCCCCGCCCGCCTACGTCGACTGATGAGCTGATTAGTTCTGCCACTAGCCCGTCCCGGCAGAGTAGTCTCCTCGCCGCGTCGGCGAGGTCGACCTTGTCGCCGCCAGCCTCGTGGGCGACCTAAGCAACAGCCATCAACATCAGGACAGCCCTGCACCTCGTTCGAGTTGCGCAGCCGCGTGGGCGACCTCGGGTAATCTCGGGTAATCTCGGGTAATCTCGGGTAATATCAGCCGCGTGGGCGACCTCCGCCGCCGCGGCGTGGAGGAGCGGCAAGTAGCCAAACGCCGAGAAGAGGGCCGCGAGCACCTGTGGGGCGGCGGAACGGCTCATTCCTCGAGGAGTAGGTCGCCGGACGCGACGAAGAGCGACGCGAGCACCGTGTCGGGCGGCAGCACCGCGGCAGCCAGCTGCACCGCGAGCCGGTCCGGATCAGCCATGAGTCGGCAGAGCGGCGGCGATGTCGAGGCGTAGTTGTGCACCTGAACAAGTATATATAATAGAATAGAATATAATAGAACATGGTATAATGGAGGTCGAGGCGTAGTTGTGCACTCATCATAGTTGTGCACTCATCAAGTCTGGACTAGCTCTCATGCGTCGAGTGCAGACGCGTAGCTGCTGACCTGCTGCCGCGGCGCCGTGCCGTTGCGGACCCACAAGTTGCCCTCTACGGCGGCCGCCGCCGCCGCCAGCTGGAGAGGGCCATCGAGAAGCGCCTCCGCCGCACTCCGCCTCCACCACGCCGTCCTGGGCGCCTCACCCGCCGCCGAGAGGCCGGCGCGCTCCGGGCACGCCTCCGCCGCCGCCAGCCACGCCGCCTACCATTTGATGATCATCAACTAAGACCAATTCATTGCAAGTTGCGCCTCCGCCGCCAGCCTCGCCGCCTCGGCCTCTGCGCCGCAGGCTCCCTCGTGGCGCAGCCCCTCCGAGCTGAAGGCGTGCGCCACCTTTGCAAGCTCCTCCTCGCCGCCGCGCGCCGCAGCGAGCCGCTGCACCGCCGCGCCGACGAAGCGCTCGAGCGGGAGGTGAAACGAGATGGTCGTGGCGGCGCGCGAGGGAGGGACGAGGCAGTGGCTGCAGCCAGCCGTGCGGCAGACGAGGGGCGGCTGGGAGAGGGGCTGGCTCATCTCCCGCTCGACGAGGGCGGTGATGGCGAGCACCAGCAGGCTGCAGGGCTCGACGCCGGCGCCGTGGCCGGCGAGGGGTGCGCTGAGCGCTGCGGCTGGGGCGGTGGCGAGGGCGGGGCTGGCGAGGAGCGGCTTGAGGAGGACTGTGTAGAGGGACTGGAGGCCTAATAATAATAATAATAATAATAAATAGTATAATAGCTTGAGGAGGACTGTGTAGAGGGACTGGAGGCCGATGAAGAAGTTGAAGGCGCCGATCCACATCTCGTTCTCGTGCGCCACGTGCTCGTGCACGGCCCGCTCCTGCGTGCCGACGCCGTGCAGGAGTCGACGGCGATCACTGGCGAGCAACTACGGACTAGTTCGAGCAGTCGCCTGCGTGTCGACGCCGTGCATCTGCGCGAGCATGCCGAGCCACGACTGCAGCAGCTGCACGTCGCCGAGCAGCTCCTTGGGCACCCCCTCGATGGCGAGCACGAAACGCAAGTCGGCGAGGAGGGGGAGCTGCCTACTCAGGCCGATGAGCCCACCACCAATGAAGTAGAAGCGCAGGCCGGCGGGGAGGAGGGGGGTGAGCTGCCTTCGCCAGTCGCGGCCGGCTGGCCGGCGCGGCTTCCAGAGCAGGACGTCGCTCGCGTGCAGCTCGCGCATCGTCGTGAGGAGCGTGCGGACGAAGCCGGTCTGGACGAGCGGCATGACGAGGCCGGGCCGGTTGAGGAACTGCACCGAGATCTGCGACGAGAAGAGCGTCTCCTCGGCGGCGACTCCTTTCGTTCAAGCGAGACGACTCTCACCCCCAGAGGCTGTCCGCTGGGCTGAGGAAGAGGTCTCCCCGGCGGACACTCCTCGGTGCCGGTCCTCGTTGGGCAGCGCCGCCTCGCAGTGCGCGCGCGCGAGGGCGCCGTAGTTGGCCGTGTAGCAAGCGGCGAAGGCCCGCTTGAAGGATCGCTCCGACAGCAGCCGCAGGTACAGGTCCTGCAGCGCCTTAGGCACCTGCTCTCATGAACCACCTCCTGGTGACATGAGCCAGAGGACAAGTCCTGGCACCGCCGCTGGCGCCTCGCGGCCCGCGTCCCGCATCTGCACGTCGCGCAGCAGCAGCAGCTCGAGGATCGAGCCTCGCGTGCACGGGAAGGGCTCGCCGCCGCTGTCCCTCGCCTCGCTCTCCCAGACTGGAGCGCAGCTCTCGCCGCAGCCCCCGCTCGCACCGAAGCCGGCCTGCGCCCCGCCGCTCGCGGGTGCGGCTGGCGCGGGCGGAGGCGCGGACGGGGTGCCGGCGGGCAAGCAGATCGGCCCGCACAGCGCCTGAGTATCGTTCATGGTGACATGACTAGTTGTGATCCGGAGGGCGTGCAGATCGGCCCCGCACCGCGCCTGCGCAGCGAGCACAGCGAGGCCGTCGAAAGAGCCGCACCTCTTCTCGATCCAGTCCACCGCCGCCGCGACGAGCCGCGGGTCGGCAGGGTCGCGGGAGGAGGAGGCGCCGGACGCCGTCGCTCGCACGACCTCGGAGAGGATGGTGTCGAAGAGGGGAGGCGCCGTGCTCGCCAGTGGCGGCGGGAGCGCCGCGAGCGCCTCGCTGCTCGAGTGCGACCTGCCGTGCCTTGAGCAGAAGCCCTTGCGGTCCCACGCGGACTCGTCGCCTATTGATGACAATCATACCCACGTATATAACGGGGTGAGACGCCCCTTGCGCTCCCAGGCGGACTTCGCCGCAGTCGCAGCAGCCGCCGTCGGTGGCGCGAGAGATGTAAAAGGAGACGTCGTGGCCGGTGTGATCGGCGTCTTGAAAGCACTCCTGTGCGGGGTGGGTAGGGATGCTCGCTCGCCCGCTCGCTCGCTTGCTGGTGCGCCGGCCAGCGTGGATGCGCGGCGGCGCCTGACACACGACACACGTGTCGTCGCCAATCGCGCACGTCTTGCACTTCCAGATCACGTCGCCCTTCTGAAAGCCCCTGCCGCACGACGACTTGGGCACGGAGGCCGCGAGGCGGTCGAGCTCCTTCCCTGCCTCCGCATACTCCTCGTCCGGCCGCAGGCCGAGCAGCAGCAGGTCGAGGGACGCCTTGAGCTTCGGCGCGAGGCCCCGGGAGGAGCCCGAGGCGCTGCTCGCCCTCAGGATACTGGTTAACAACGAAGGACTGTCATCCGTAGGGCCGGTGCTCCCATCGCTCATGCCGCCACAATCCCAGGTGCCGGGGGGGTGGGTATCCTGGACCCGGCGCAGGTGGTGTGAGGGTCGGAACCGGGCGGGGCGGCCCCAGCTGTGGTGAGACGGCCGCGCCCGGTTATTTTATTTTTCTACCGTGGCGGACGACGACTGCGCGAGGGCACTGTTGGGACGCAAGCACACATGATGACACTTTCCCAAGAACAAAAGAAAAAATAAAAGGAATACGTTACCTATCCTGTGATTCTTTGTGAGCTCTGTGTCTTGCATTGTTTGGTATTGCTAAAAATCTCTCTCTCTAAAAAAACAAAAACCTAAAAAGTCCACGTCATCTGTCGGTCTCGCTGGTGTCGGCGCGCTCTCGTCTTTGTGTCTTGTCTTTCGCACGGACACACACATGCTCGACCTCGTCGTCTACGGCGCCACGGGCTTCACCGGCCGGCTCGTCGCCGCCTACCTGCGCCGCAGCGCGCCATCGGGCCTGCGCTGGGCGCTCGCCGGCCGCGACGCAGCCCGCCTCGAGGCGGTCGCCGCCGAGATTGAGGCGCAGCCCGGCCTGGCTGCCGGCGTGGGCGCGGCGCCGGTGTCGGTGCTGGGAGGCTGCGACGCGGACGAGGCGTCGGCGGCGCGCATCGCCGGCGAGACGCGAGCCGTCCTGTCCACCGCCGGTCCCTTCTCAAAGTACTCGGACGCGCTCGTGGGTGCGTGTGCCGCGGGCGGCGTCTCGTACGTCGACATCAACGGCGAGATACCGTGGGTGGCGCGCGTGATCGAGCGCCACGACGAGGCGGCGCGGGCGTCGGGCGCGCTCATCGTGCCCAACTGCGGCTTCGACTCGGTGCCGTCCGACCTGTGCGCGCTGCGCGCGACGCGGCTGCTCGCGGACGGGACGGGCTCGGCGTGCGTGTCGGTGCAGGGCGTGATGCACATGACCGGCGCCATGTCGGGCGGCACGATCGAGACGGGCCTCGAGATGGAGACCCTCGCGTCCGGGCTCTCCTCCCTCCCGCCGCCCTCCCTTCTCGACGGGCCCGCCTCTGCTGTGCACAGGAGCGGCTCTACCCGGGCGAGCTGCGGCAGCCCTTCCGGCTCGGAGGCGCCTCGCGGCTCGCGCGCGGCGGCGAGGGCCCGAGCGCGACGCGGATCAAACTTCACTCCTTGACGGACTCATTGCTTGTGGACTCCTCACTCCAGGCGAGGACCCGAGCGACGCGGACCCGAGCGAGGAGCGGCACGGCGGCGGGCGGCACTTGGCCAGTCCACTCCTCATCGCTAGCCTGGCTTGCCTGCAGGAGCGGTACGACGGCACGCTGCGGCGGTGGCTCGCCCCCTTCGGCATGGCGCGCATCAACACGCGCGTCGTGCGCCGCTCTGCGGGCGAGCTGCTCGCGCACGTCAGCGCGCCGACGCGGGATCACCCGAGATCACGCGAGATTCCACGAGCACAGGCGAGCTCGACGCGTACGTCAACGTCGACGCGAGCCGCTTCCGCTACCGCGAGGAGCAGCTCTCCCCGGCAGGAGGGAGGGCGGCCGCGAAGATGGCCAAGAACGCCGCCATCCCGCCCGAGAAGCTGCGCGCGCTCGTCGAGGCTGGCCGGCTGCCCAAGCCAGGCGGCGGCCCGTCGGCAGAGAAGCGAGCAGCCTCCGCCTTCACCGCCCTCGCCCTCGCGCGCGCCGCGGACGGGAGTGCCGCCGCGTGCGGCCTCTCCGGCGGCGACCCGGGCTACGACGAGACGGCAAAGATGGTTGCGGAGGCGGCGCTCTGCTTGGTGGCGGAGGAGCGGGCGGAGCTGCCGGCGGCGGCGCGCGGGGGGAGCGGCGTGCTCACGCCGGCCGCGGCGCTGGGCGGCGTCCTCGAGCGGAGGCTCGGCGGGGCGGGGCTGGTGTGGGAGGACGGGTACCCGCTGGGTAGCCTGCCGGGGGCGCCGGACGAGGAGGCCGAGGCGGCGGCGGTCGAGGCGGAGGCGGTGGCCAAGGAGGCTTGGTGAGGCCTGGTGAGAGGCGGCGGCGGCGGCGCGCTCAGCTGGTACTCGTCCTTGTGCTCCCCTTCCGTCGTGCTGTAGTTTTTTTGACCATAATAGACGGCCGCGAAAGCCGAAAAGGCGAGAAATCCGCGCGCGCCGTCTCGAGCTCGAGCGTCGAGGTGGTGAGTCTGAGCTCTCCACACTCCAGCTCTGAGTGAGGACTCTGAGACTGAGTCCGCTGGTGACCCGTGAGCCGTGTCGGCTGAGGGCTGTCGCTTCCGGCTTGTCGCTTGAGAGGCATCGGCCAGCGGCCTCTGGGGGGAGGCGGGGGCCCCCGGAGGCACCGTGCGCCGCGCCGCAGTGCGGAGACGGGGCCCCGGCTCTATTGGTCTATATTAGCACCGACTTCCCGAATGAGTACGGTTGATTAGAGGGCAGATTTGGAGAGATCTCGAGGAGTACATACAGATAGACCCTCCAATTCTCCACCTCTGTTTTAAAAGAAAAAGAATTTAATTCTTCTTCGCACGCTGCGTCGAATGATGAAGTCAAAATCGCGCACTAACAGTCAGACATGCCCCGCGTGTAGTATTCTTGATACGAAACCACGACGACACACACCAGTCGACTCACACACACACACACACACTCACTCACATGCACATGCCCCGCGGCAACACCCGGGGTCCCAACGAATGCGGGATCCAATGCGATTTCTGTCAGCTCTTTATCGCGCGATTGTGAGGGCGCTCAGCACAATCGGGCTCACTGCCCGCTTTGCGTCGGCGTTGCCAGGTAGCGAGCGCTTGGCCTTCGGCTGCTTGGCCTCCTTCGGCACCTAGCATGCCCGAGATCTGGGAGACGGAGCGGCTGCCGGCTCTTGAGGAGCTGCGGCCAGAGAAGGAGCTCTTGGAGGAGGAGCGCGTCTCGATCAGGTACGGCCGGGAGATGGTGCGTGCTGTGGGCAAGCGCAGCCACGCCAAGTCGCTCGGCGAGGGTTGCGGCCAGCACGAACACGAGGCCGCGTGGGCTACGCTCCGAGGCCTCGAGGACGGCGCGCTCGAGGCAGTCGCCGTTGGCTTTGCGGAGCATGAGTGCAGCGCGCTGGGGACGGAGCTTCGAGCCGGCTCGCGCAACTTTGCGCGGCTCTTCCTCTCCGCCGAGGGGCTCAGCTTGCTGCAGGCTGTGGCAATGGAGCTACACGGCCTGAGCCTCGAGCACTGCTGGGCGTGGTGCGCGTGCCGCCGCCGCCAACTCTCACGCGCCGAGCCATCATAGACTGCCCCTCCCCCGCGCCGTACAGGGACGTGGTTGGCGAGAGGCACGAAGAGGAGTACTCGGTGGTGTGGGGCGTCAAGCGCCTCCTCAGCCGCATCCACGTCGTGATGGTGAGGAATCACTTGGTCGAGGACCGCTCCAACAGGGCGGTGGGGCGGCGGGACTGCTGCGCCCACACGCCGGGGATCTGCCTCGAGTACTTTGACGCGAGCCGATCGGTCAAATGGTGGAGCTTGCACCCATGTGCGCGTGCCTCCCGCCTTCCCCCCCCTCCACAACACACGTGCGGAGGAGCTCCTCCCCGCCGCAGGCATGCACTGGGTGTGCGACCCGTGCTTCAACCAGCTGATCGAGGGGCCGCTGATCCAGCAAAGGGAGCGCCTCCGGGCCGAGGCCAAGGCGGAGGCGGAGATGGCGACGACGCGCCGAGAGGCGGCGACTAAGTTGGAGGCGTCCATCCAAGATGCCGGAGCTGGACAGCTGCATGGTGTGGTGCAGGCGCTCGACCGCCTCGCGACAGAGACGGAGGAGAAGGCGAATCATCTCTTTGAAGAATCGTTCGGCACCGGTGTGCCCGCAGGCTCCGGCTCAGGTCAGAGGGCCCAGCGACTCGTCGGTTGGGTGTAAACGGGCATCCCCGAGTGGCTTCAAACCAAACAGGGTGTGAATAGAGCTGTCTTGATGGTGCTGAGGACGAAGCCACCTCAAACTTTGATGAAGCCGCGAGTTTTTATAGTTTTCATTAGCTGTGAATAGTTATTGCGCCCGCCGCAGCCCGCCCACTGGGCACGCGCCACGGGCCACGAGAGCCCTGGAAGAGCCCAGCTGGCATGTTCTATCGCCCGGGTGGCGGGCTGTCTGCATACAGACGTCTCGTCGCCATGGCTGACGCACGACTGGTCCGACGTGCGGTGGGAGTTTGACCTCAGACAGGCCGTCGGTGTCGGCGGGCTGACGGCGGCCGCCGGAATCGCGATTCGCTCTGCCAGCTGCCAGCAGCCTCGTGTCGCGGCTCTCACAGGTGCAGCTGCCAGCAGCCTCGTGTCGCGGCTCTCAGCGGTGGTGATTGGTCTTTGCGCCGTCGCTCGACGGCGTCACCACCCATCCGATCTGCGCAGCTCCTGCAGCTCCTGCAGCTCCTGCTGTCAGTCTTCTACTCTCACTCGCCGCGCGCGGATTGTGCGCCGCACCAGCAGGACACATGCTCATGCAAACAGTGCGAGAACTTGGTTGCGCCGCTTAGTGGCGGCGCTGCTTTAGAGGAAGCGGCAGCGTGGGAAGCACAGCAGATGGAGGCGGCGCGGCATGCCAAGGAGCTGCAATCGCAGTACTGGGGGCGGCAGCGCCAGCAACGAGCAAGGAGAGACTGGCGGAGGTTGAGCGGCTGAGTGCAGCAAGGGCCAAGGGCAAGAAAAAGGAATGTGGGCGTGGGCGATACGGGCGCCGCTAGGCTCAACGAGGAGATGCTGTGCAGTTAGAGAGCTCGTAGCGAGCTCGATTTTGGATGAGAATTTAGATGAGAAATCCCTCAATTTTGAGAAAAAACGCCAAAAAATCGGCGCCTGCGGCGGGCCAGCCTCCGGCGGCGCCTGCGGCGGGCCGCTGGGGCTTCCTCCCCAGACCCCGTTTACACCCGAGCTATGCCCCACGACCTGAGCCGGAGCCGCACTGCGCCGAGACGGTGCGAGATGCGATTTGCAAGAGAATAATGGTAGCGGCGCACGACGAGGGAGAGGGGGAATAGACGCGAAAAGTCAAAAGAGATATATGTATTTACATCTACCGAGCAGCGTCTGCAGGCCGATTCGCTGCTTGAATGGAGAATGCCCGGGGTTGTTTCGCTACCGAGCAGCGTCTTCCGAGAGGCGATCTCCTGAAAGAATTCGGAAAAAAAATCGGCCCACGTCGCCTCCTGCTCGCCTCTCCTTAAAATCCCTGTGTGGTGGCGGCGTGCCGTCCTCCCATCCCTCGGGGGGCTCTTTTGTTTTTTTTTCGCTGCCAACCTCTCACGCCGCATCCAATCAGTCTTTGCTTCGTGCTCATGTCGACGATCACAGTGACGTTCGGTTGGGACGAGCTAGGCGAGGAAGAGCGCGCCGGGCGGGCGCCGCTGACGCTGCAGATGGACAAGTCGGCGCTCGCCGAGCGCGACCCAGATGGGACGTCGCTCCTGTCGTGCAAGATCAATTTTGCGAGTTCGACGACCTTCTCGATGTCGCCACTTGGCCCTGGCCAGGACGAGTTCATGACACCCGCCCTCATCGAGTACGTGTGGGAGTACATGAAGCACGGAAACCTCGACGTGACGCCCACGCTCGATGCCGCCGACGCCGAACGTGCGCTGGAGTACTTTGGCTTCTCGGGCCTCGCGGTGACTGTGCCCGACAGTGACCCGCGTGCGCTCGGCAAGCAGATCGCCTACAAGGTCCACTGCGACTCGATGAAGGCCGCGAGCCCCATTGTGCAGTGGATCAAGAAGACGATGCTCGTTGGAAATGTCGGGATCGCCGGCGTGCACTTGATTGTCGATGACCATCGCAACAATCCGCGCACGAACCAATACGGCGTGAGCGAGGATGCCCTCCTCGGCATGTACTCAGTGTCGCCCCCGGGCACGCTTGTGCTGCGGCTCGGCGATTATGCCGGCGAGACCAGCTACGAGGGAGTCTTCCGCCTGCTCTCTGGCGACGACAAGACGGCAAAGGCGCTGCGCGAGAAGATTCAGCGTGACGTGACGGCGCTTGGCGGGCTCAACGTCGCGTGGGAGCGCAAGAGCACGCCAGTCAAGGACGTCGGTGAGTATGGCAGCCGTGACTTCGAGAGGGAGTACCGGCACGTCCTCAAGATCACGCTCGACACCGCTGCAGAACCAGAGGAGGGCATCAAGCGCCGCAAAGTGGCGTGATGCCAAAAGATGGCCGGCTCAGGGCCGGCTCGTCGACTCGAGAGGCGCAGCAGGCGGGAAGGGGCGCGGGAGTGTCGGCCCGCGCTGGCGCTGCGCTCGAGCGGCGTGCACACACTTCGGGCACTGGGCCGCCATGGAGCGAGCCCGAACGTATCCAGGACGGAGAGACTAATTATGGCATGATCGGCGTGCGAGCTGTGTTGCTGATCCCGTGTCCAGTTCCGGTCTATGCACTGTGGTCTGTGTGGGAAAGGGGTGCTCTCGCTATATGTGTCGTGTCGCTCTTTTTGAACGCGACGGCCGATGCACATAGGTGAGGACGAAGCAGAAACTAGCGCAGACGAGAGCAGGGCAGACCCGGGGACTGGGGAGCCGGAGCAGACGGCATCGGCCGCCGAGGGAACGTTGGGAAGAGGCACGAGGAGGGCGGCGACCTCGACCGAATATGGAGGACCCGTCGCCAGACGACGCAGGGCAGAAGACGGTGAGGCGGAGCAGACGCGCAGGGCGAGACGAGGGAGGGAGCAGGATGTTGCGGAGATCAGCAGGAGGATGTACGAAGAGATTAGGAGTAGCAGGGACCCGAGGGACCATGTGGAAGACGGCTAGTGCTAGTCCCCCACCGGGAGGACGACCCCGGCTAGTCGCCGACCACACCCACAAAGAACCCTGCACAAAGATCGCACGGGCGGGGACCTGTTCCTTTTTACCCATCTCACAGTAGAGGTGACCGTTTTATTTATTCGGTCAAAACACCGCGCCCGTAACCCGATGCCAATCATTCGCCTAGAAGCCCCTCTGATGAGTGGTCAGATGAATAGTGCCCAAGAGCGAGGGATACGGAGGGGAGCACAAATAGGACGCCCAGCCCTGCCCTCGTGCCGCCGAGTGCGTATCCTATGCGAGAGAGACCCCCTGTGCCCGTGCCCAGCCCTCTCCGCGCCGCGATGCGCCCTCCCCCCTCGCTTTTGCAAAATCCTGCAAAGGTGGGGACGTGTCTGTCCTCGACCCAGCCCTAGCTTGGGATGTCTGTTTTATTTATTTATTCCGCCGCAGCGAGTCGACGTCTCCCGAGGCGATGAGACTCAAGGCGTCCGCGTCCTCCATCCGTTTGGTCGTCACCTGGCGAGCAGAGGCCTTACCTTACCTTACCTTACCTTACCTCGATCCTCGTCCGGGAGCGTCCTGCGACTCCTGGCCCCACTCCGCGAGCCTTCCCCCCGCCGAGCACCAAAGAGCAGCGTGCGTGTGCCTCTCGCCAGATATCGAGCCCTCCGGGAGAATCTCAAGATAGAGAAAAAGACGACGCTCTCTCACAGCGTTGGTGTCCAGTCCGAGCCTGGCTGTTCTTCACCTTTCTACCTACCTACCTCACAGCACTGGATGTGCGGTTAATGACTGCACTCCAAGTGCTCCAAGTGCGGAGAGGGAGGAGAGAGAGAGAGGAGAACTGGGACCTGTCGTGTGGGTGAACCCTGCCCAGCCCCCCTCCGTGTCGCGATGCGCTCCCCGCTCCCGTTCCCCTGTGTCCCTGATCGTCCTTACAAGATCCTGCTCGTGCAGGTGTGGGGACCCTGTCCTTTCTCCCACCCCTTGTTTGGTGTGTCCGTTTTATTTATTTATTTATTTAGCCATCCCTCCCTTGGGTTGTCTGTTTTCTTTCTTTTAGCACACAGGTAGAAACAAAGTCGCACGACACTGCGCACGGGACTGGCGCGCACTGGCACTAACACAGGCACACTACGGGAGCCGCCTAAGCGACTCCCGCAAGGGCGGCGAGGCACTTAGCTCCGACCTCCGTGCACTCGCCCGCCCCCGCCACTCTCTCGGCTACGGGACCGGCCCCAGCTTCGGCCTTCGGCTGAGGGCTGACAAGCGGCCGAGCCCAAATCACTGTGAGAGTCGTGATTTCTTGTTGGTTTTCAAAAATCTCTCAGGCAAGCTCATTCACAATCTGCTCTCTCTGCGATCGAAAGGGAGAATTTTGAGACAAAGCGGATAGAAAACAAAAACCCAACGCACTACTCTCTCACATGACAAGCGATCCCACGACAGCGATTGTGGGGACTACATGATCCCGTACGTGAAGGGTGGAGGGGCCCTAGGGGCCCGTCCGCAGACAGAGCTATAGGCGGCGCGGGCACCCCCCACTGGGGCCGAGGGTAAGACCTAGAGGCCGTTTGCCACTTGCTTGTTCTTGACGTCGTTGACCCAGTTGGTACGCATCTTGCGCACTTGGAGCACTTGGAGTGGCTGCAGTCGGCAACCTCACACCCATGCGCGCCTGCTTGTTGATGTTGTCGGCGTCGCCCGCCACCGCCGCCATGGAGATCTGCTGCGTGTGGTGGATGATAAAGGAGGAGAAAACACCGCGGTTGTTGAGATCCCTGTGGCCAAAGAGGACAAACACAACAGAAGCGCGAGCACCGAAGCGATTAGATCTACCTCTGCTTCGTCGGTCTGGTCCCTCACTCTTTGAGGTGTGCTAGTCGCTCGCTATCCCACATGCGCAGATGGGCTCGTCTGAATTCGGACGCCTGTGCTACCCTTCACACACGCTACACACGGTGTACTAGCACGGCGCATCCTGCGCCGTGCCCCATGAATGTCGATACTCCAGCATCACACCCTCTGTGCCACAATCGTGTCACGTGGACGTCCCTTAGTCGGCGCGTCTTGTCTGTCGCGATGTCCTAGACGTCGTGCCTTTCTGGTCCTTTACAATCCTTCAGCCAGCCACCCTCCGGCTCTGAGCCTCCGCGCTCAAACGTGGTACCTCCGGTGAGATGCAAACCGCCCACCAGGCCATGGCGGACAAACCCGCCACGCCCCAGCGCGATGACATGGCCACCGTCGCACTCGACACCGTCTTACTCGACGAAGAGCCTACAGCAGATCAGGTCCTTACTGCAGTCCTCGTGCTCATGGACTTCGTGGCATACGCCGGCGCCGCCGCTATGCCTCTGGATCAACCGTGAATTTCTGATGCTGCACGGCACCAACGCTGTCACCCTCCCAATCGCCACCGCCATCTTTGTCGTCACCATCAATTTTGTCCGCGGCATGCTCATCGCCGCCCGCTTTCCTCACAGCCTACGCATGCAAAGGGTACACTGCCTCTTGCGCTCTCGCGGCGGCTTGCGTGGCTCGCGTCAAGACTTGGGTCGCCTTCGGATCTGAGTCGCACCAACGCTCCGTCAAAAGCTCCGTCTGTGATGTCCACATGGCACCCCGGGGAGAAGCTTCCCACGAGGGGGACGAGCCGTTTTGCCGGCTCAATCGAGATCAGTTTGAACGACAACTCGCTTGAGACAGAGGAAGACGTTGCCGCATCGCCGCTCAGCTAGCCGCCGCCTTTACAATCCTTCAGCCAGCCACCCTCCGGCTCTGAGCCTCCGAACTCAAACGGGGCTTTCGAGCTTCGGAGCCCTGCACGGTCCGTTCGCCCCGATTTTTTTGACTCAGGGCGCTTCACCGCCGCCTTTTGATGTAGGGAACCTCGCAGCTTCCCCCCGGTGAGCCGCCGCCTCCGCCGCGCGCGCCCGCACAGCAAGGCCTCTACGGGCGAGCCACTGGCGCTACTCGCTGCGGTGGCGGTGCCAGTCTCCCTCTCTCCCTGGTAGGTATAACGTGTGCAGATGGCTCGCTATCCTCCGCCGTCGTTACCGCCGCCGCCGCCACTGTCACCTCTTACGCACTGCGAAGGCCTCGAACAGACAAACAACGGTTCCGACGGGGACGACTTTGACCCGATGTACGTGGTCGGCGTCTCGCTCGCCGCTCTGTCCGCGCTCATCTCGAGCGTCGCTTTGCTCATCATGAAGCGTTCGGCGGACACCGAGGCCGGCCTCCCGCTGCGCCCGAGCTGCACGCACCGCTGGCGACGGCTCTGGTGGCTTGGCTTCCTCATGAATACCGGGTCCGAGGTCAGCCTGTCGGTCGTGGCGCTGGGCATGGCGCCGATCTCGGTGATAGCACCGATCTTTGGGCTCGCCATCGTCTTCAGCGCCGTCCTCGCGCGCCTGGGCTGGGTGCCGGGCGTCAAGGAGTCCCTCTCCCGCGCCGAGTGGGCCTCCATCGTCGTGATTGTGGTGGGGATCGGCCTGTGCAGCGCCTTCGGGCCCTCAACGGAGCACGAGATCGCGTTCGAAGACATCGGCAAGTACTTTGGGCGCGCGTCCTTCCTCGGCTACGCCTGCCCCGCCGCCGCCTTCGTCCTCTTCTGGGTCGCCGTGCTCCTCCCTCGCTCGCCCCTCCTCTGGCTGCGACCAGGCTCCAGGTACGCCAGCCCACCTCTCGATCACAGTCCACCTGCGCCTCCGCCGCTCTCGGGCACTTCGAGTCCGGAGCGAGCCAGAGAGCTCGACTCCTTCGTAGGTCCGTCACCCTCTCCATCTGCGCCTCCGCCGCCTCGGGCATCGCGGGCGCGTTCTCCATCGTCTTCTCAAAGCGCGCCCCCCGCCGCACCCCTGAACACCCCCCCCCACCCCGGACTAGCGCCCCCGCAAGCCGTCTCCTGCCCCCTCCCCTCTGCTCGCGGCGTCTCGTCTCGCCCCGTCTCTCGACCCTGTCTCCAGCGCGGCCGAGCCCCTCCCTCCCGACTCTCCGCCGCCTCTCCCTTGCGCAGGATCTTCTCGGAGGCCACCTCCCCCCCCCCACCCCCCCTTGGGGTCGGGGAGGCAGCACACGATCAACCACTCGATCACGCGCTGCTCTGATTCGGACCAGGCCATCATCCACCGCTGGCTCGGCAAGGGAGACACGTCTGTCTTCAGCGACGGGGTGACCCGCCCTCGCCGAGGGAGTACGGTCACCCTCCACGCGCCGTGGACTTACACCTAGGACCACCCGAACAGGTGACGTACGCGTCGGTGGCGGGGATCGCCGTTTGCGCGCCGGCCAACTCTGGCTGCTCGACGGGCCTGCGAAGAGGGGCTCATGCAGCAATCACATGAGAAGGTGGTGGTTCTAGGCGCAGCTCTGGCTGCTCAACTGGGCCCTCGGCTCGGGCAAGGCGGCATACGTCGTGCCCCTCTACACAGTGATGATCATCTGCAACAACGTCATTCAGGGCGCGTGCTCCGCCGCCCCGCCCCGCCCCGCCCCCGGGGACCCCCCCCCCCCCCCTGACACCCTGACACCCCCCGGCCCGCACAGGCGGCCTCCTCTTCGACGAGTTCACCTGCCTCGCCGAGAGCGAGTACAAGCTCGCCGTGTTCGTCACCGCCCTCCTCCTCACCGTCGCCGGCGTCGCCCTCCTCTCCTCGCAGCAAGAGGGCGCGCGCAGCAGGGGCGGCGCAGCGAGCAGAGGCGGCGCCGACGGCTCCTCGGTCGGCCCCGAGCCGTCGGGGTCCTCCGCCTCCGCCTTCGTGCCGTTCCGCAGGTCTTCGCGCCGCGACTCCGCCTCGATGCGGCTCGTGCGCGAGGTGCCGGGCTCGCCGCAGGCCAAGGCCGCGGGCCACTTCCGCGAGCGGGGGAGGGGCATCGAGGAGATCCAGCTCCGGCACCGGAACTCCTTCGACGGCTGCTCCCAGGGGTCCAGCTCCTTCGTGGTGTAACCTGACGGCTGTTTAGATGATGTTTTAGTTCATACTGCCAGGAAAGCGAACCCTACTCCGCACGCGCGCACTTGGAGCACTTTGGAGTGCAGTCATTAGCCTCACATCCAGGGCCGGGGAACTAAGAAGCGCACCCAGCGGGCCGGATGATCGGGATCGGGTTGCGGGCAAGAGAGCCCTAGCCCCGGGGGTGCGCGTTCGCAGGGCAAGTGGGCTGTAAAGTAAACACAGGTCTCCAAGGGTTAGCCCCGCGTACCGGGTTTCCCCTTTAACTGCAGGACGCCCCCTCTACTCGGAGCTAATGAACACCACACTGTACGCCCCACACCACCAGAGTCTGCACTCACACGCACAGGCATTTGAGTAGACCCCCCGCCTGAGGGCTCACCCCCGGTCTTCCCAGGGTTCCGACCCTCCTTGATTCGCTCTCTTGCTCATCTCCCGAGCGTTATGCGACGACTGGTGTGGTCGTTTCCCTCGTTGTTGGTGTCGCTTTCTCTGCTGCCGCCCTCCGTCTCCGCCAGTTCCTCCCGGCTCCACCGAATCCGAGGGCGTCGACGGCCCGGCCAAGGCCCCCCCGGGCGAGTGCGGCGGCTCTCTATCCTCTCGCCACGACTCCTCGGGAGGTCGAGCCACCTCTCCCTGGTCGGCGAATCGCGCCCGCACCCGCGGCCTCTCTATCGTCTTCGGCTCGCCCCCCCCCTCCGCCGGCTCCTCTTCAGGCTCGGGGAGGCGTGGCCCTCCCTGTCGAAGATCGCGGTGATCCGGCTGCCACCGCGACGGGTCTTCCCCCGGTGAGCTCGTACGTCCCGACTCCACTCGCAGAGGCCGCGTCAGCTCATCTCTCGCCTCCTCCGACAGCTGACCCCAAGCCCCCCCTGGGTCCCTCCGGCCTCGGCCTTCCGGCTCGCCGGCGGGCCTGTTATCACGTTGCGGCAACTCCCCTTCCCCAGCCCCTCCTCCCGGGTACTCCAGCCTCCGGCGGGGCGGTTCCGGATCCTCTAGGCTATTCCGAGCAGGTCCATACGGTGGCGGCCCCGCCGGCGGCGGGGGTGGAGGCGGTGGCAGGGGCGGCGGGTTCAGCGGCGGCCCTTGCGGCCCAAACATCTGGTGCGGAGCCGCTGGGGCGGTCCCACGACCCTGCAGCCGTTCCAGTGGCGGGGGCGGAAGTGGCAGTGCGGGTGGCGGAAACGATGGCGGCACTGGCGGCCGCACCGCCTGGTGTGGAACCTCAGGGGCGGCTCCTCGACCCAGCGGTCGCTCCAGCGGCGGGGGCGGAGGCGGTGGTGGTGGGGGCGGGCCTGGTGGCGGCGCCGGCCGCCGCAACTCCTGGGGTGGGGCCCCGGGGGAGGCCCCCTGCCCCTGTGGCCGTCCCAGCCGTGGTTCCACGCGTCGGCCGTCCACCCCGCTCGTGGGGGGGGGCCTAGCTCTCGTCTCCCCTCGGGAGGGGGGGGGGCAGGGCCCGGATTCGCCGACGGCTCCGCCTCCCCCCCGCTCCGCATCAGGCCGTACGTAGGCTGCGCAGTAGCTGCGCCGCCTCCCCCCTCGCCCGGTCCCTCTCGATTCGGTCCCACACTGACCGGATATCAAAGGCCGAGTTGTGTTCGGATAGCGGGCCCGCCGATGCCACCCGTGTCTTCACACAGCAAGCGTACGCCTTCATCGCCTGCCTCCCAGACTTTGTCGGTCCTGGAAGAAGCTCGGCAGACGTTTCTCTTCTCGCATTGCCGCAGCCGCCCCTCTCGCGTCGGCATGAACCCAGCCTGCGACCCTATGGCGGCGGCGGCGGCGGCGGCGGCCGCGGGCCAGGCGGCTGCTGCGGCAGCTAGCGCCGCCGCCGCCGCGAGCGGGCTGCCGCTCTCTGCGAACATGGCGCCGGCTGCCGCTCCGCCAGGACCGCCAGCAGTCATTTTGCCTTCGTATGCCGCCTGGTTCGATCCGAATGCGGTGCACGCGATCGAGCGGCGCGCGCTGCCCGAGTTCTTCGACGGCTCTTCGGCCGTCAAGACGGAGCTCGCGTACACCGAGGCGCGCAACTTCATCGTCAGCTCGTACCGCGAGCAGCCGGCGCTGTACCTCCCGCTCACCGAGGTGCGGCGTCATCTCGCCATCGATGTCGCCGCCGCCACGCGGCTGCACCGCTTCCTCGAGCACTGGGGCATCATCAATTACGTCGCCACGCCGCAGGCCGCCGCGGCGGCCGCGCGCGCCGAGCACAGCGGCCATGGAGGAGCGATTGTGCCGGACGCCCCGAGCACGGCGACTGCCGCGGCGGCAGCGCTGGCGCAGAGCCGGCACACGCTGAGCGCGCGGCCGGAGACCTTCCCGTCCGGCGGCGGGAGTGGCTGGTCGGACGACGACACGCTAGCCCTGCTCGAGGCGCTCGGCCGGGTGGGGGAGGGGCGGTGGGAGGAGGTTGCCGCTCACGTTGGCAAGTCGGTCGACGAGTGCGTCCAGCGCTTCGTCGAGCTCCCTATCGAGGAGCCGCACGGCTTCGAGGCGCTGCGCGCCGTGCCGCCGCCCCCCCAGCAGCAACCCTCCCGCGGCGGCAGCGGCCGACCCGAGGACGGCGCAGCTCGCTCTGCTCGCGGCGGCGGCCCGCGGGGCGGAGAGGGACGAGCTGCAGGCGGTGGCGGGAGCGGCGGGAGCGGCGGGCGCCGACGGGAGCGCGGCGGAGGGCTTGGAGGCGGCGGCAGCTGGCTTTCGGCAGGCTGCTGCGCAGGTGGCTGGTGCTGCCCGGGGAGATGGGGAGGGAGGAGGAGGGGGGGAGGGAGGAGGAGCGGCCGGCTGACGCGGCGGGTGCGAGTAGGTGCTGAGCGCGGTGCAGCAGCACGCGCTCGCTTGCGTGCGGGAGGAGGAGGAGGCGATGGCGGCGCTCATGGCCAAGGCTCCCCCCACTC